TGGGGCACCATCGTCTGAGTAGGAGGGCGGGCGCTGGAGCAAGGAGAAGTGGCGTGCCCTGCGCGGGTCCTGGGCGCCAGGGACTCCTTTGTCTCCATGTGAAGTACCTGCTGGGGCAGCTCCATAAAGCGACAGCTGTGTCTGCTTTGTAGACGTTAACTCTGGTCGGGCTGCGGCAGCCTGGGGCTATTTAGGCTCACAGCTGCAGTGATGGCACCAAGCCTTCTGCCCACCTGGCAGTGGGCCTCACTGCCTCACTTGCCTCTCCCCTCTCTCCCCAGCTCCTGGCGACACTTGCAGGCTGTCCTGCAGCACAGACCTCGGCGGCCATGGCGTCCAGGCCGGCTCCCCTCTGCGGCCTGGTTCCTTGCTGCCTCTGGCTCCTGGGGGTCTTCTTCCTGGTGGACGTGTCTGCCCGGCCTGCCAACCACTCATCTGCTAGAGAGAGAGCAGGTAACAGGGAGGAAAATGAGATCCTGCCCCCGGACCACCTGAACGGGGTGAAGCTGGAGATGGACGGGCACCTGAACAAGGACTTCCACCAGGAGGTGTTCCTGGGGAAGGATACAAAGGGGTTCGAGGACGATGCAGAGCCTCGGAGGAGCCGGAGGAAGCTGATGGTCATCTTCTCCAAGTAGGAATCGGGTGGGGGCTGCGGGGTGTGCGGGGCGGCTGGCATTGGTCGCCCTGTCGGTCCAGGCCCGGCTCCACGGAGCACAGAGATGACAGCCCTACTTGTGATATGCCGTGGAGGCAGTGCTGTGACAGCTGCTCTGGGAAAGTTTGCCACGTTTGAGCTGTGGAACGTGCAGCCTGTGCTGCGCCCTGTGTCAGGAGGGACTCGGAGGGCCTGGCTGCCCTGCAGTCCCCACGGCCTTGCAGCTTGGAGGGCTGTGGGCTGGCCTGGAGGAGCGCCCGTCTCCAGCCAGGGCCCTGCTGGTCGTGGGGCTGTCGCAGCACCAGCCAGGCTGCCTGGCGGGCGGCCAGGACCTGGAGGTGCGCAGAGTCCGCAGGCCACGTGGTTGTGTAGCTGGTTAGGGCACGTGTGCCGTTGGCTCTGCTGGCGAGTCTGCCCGCTCCTGTGAATGCGTACGTGGAGCCTACACTGTTTTGCTGACCTGGAGCCCAGGGCAGGTTGCAGCGGGTGGAGCAGGAAGCAGGGCCCACAGAGCAAGGGAGCTTGCGGCGGGCAGGCTGCCCTGTGCAGGTGGTGGGGAAGGCGTGGGTCTGGTCTGGGAGCACCGGGCAGAGGCCCTCCAGGTGGAGCCAGATGCTGACTGGGTCTGTCAGGCTGAGTGGTTTGCTCTCTGCACTGCTGAGGGCAAGTGAGGTACTAGCAGGCCGGCTGTGCTGCTCTCAGGGGCCCTGCCTCTGCCCCGGCCGGTGGGTCCCAGGCCCTCAGGGTACTGAAGATGTGGTGGCCTCCAGGGTCACCAGTCAGGCTGGGACTGGCGGCCGTCCATTCCAGGCAGGAGACTGGTTTCCTCCTGGGCAGGGCTGGGCACACAGAGGTCACGTGGCCTGAGCCATTGGCCTCAGCGTCCTTGTCTGTGATGTGGGGCCTGCGAGGCCTGCGTCCTGGGTATTGGGGAGAGTCAGGTCCTGGCCCACAGTGCTGGCTTCTCCAGGGGGGACGGGAGGGATAATGGTAGAGAACAGGTGGAGGGCTGGAGGGCGGTGCTGGAGGCGGGGACAGTGGATGCCCCGATGCACCCACCTGGCTGGCCTTCCTGGGTGCTCCCACTTTGCATTGAGAAACTGATGTTGGCAGTTGAAGCGACCAAAGCCTCGTGCACAGATCTCACTGTCCTGTGAAGTGAAATTTTCGTCTTGAGGGAACAGAGAGAAGGGCCACAGGGGCAGGTGGCTTCTGGGGGATCTGAAGGTGGTGAGGTGGGGGCCTGTCCTTGTCTCCGTAACGCCCGATGGGGCTCCCCGGGGTGGGTGTTGGCGGCAGCCCCTCCTGCATGGAGCCCTGGGTCCCTGGAATGCGGAGCTGGGAGCAGTGGAGCTGTCCTCGCCACCAGCTCTGGGTGTGGGATTGGGGTTCAGATGCTGAGTTCAGATCACTGGGGCTGCAGGACAGTGGCCCACCAGGGGCAGGGCGTCCCACTGGCCAGTGCACCCGAACTCGGGCCATGTCTGACCACGTTGTGCGTTTTTGTTGCACGTTCTGTGTTTGACAGGGTTGGAGTCGGGGAGTGTCTACTCCGTGTTCATTTTTTCACCCAGAAGTTGTCTACAGAGACTCCCACCTACAGCCGTCCCACCCTGCGGCGCTGCCACCGGCACATGGGGCCCCACATTTTTGCCGCACATCTGCTGCTCCTGCCCCCCTGCTCCCCGCCCAGAGCTGAGCAGTCGTGTGGTCTCAGCACCCAGCTTTGAGCAAATGAAAGTCACGCTGTCGCGGTGCTTCTTGTGCAGGGTGTTTGTTTTGGAATGATGTTCCATTTACAGGAAGGTTGCAGGCTGAGGCCCACGAGTCAGAGTTAAGATGGAACAGTGCTCTGTGACTGTTACCCACCCTCCAGGCTTCAGGTCCCTTGCTGCCCTGGGTCCCATCCGCGGCCCCAGTTTTCCATGACGTGACAGTTGAGGAGGGTTGCTCAGGTGTTTTGTGGACTGTCCCTGATTTGGGATTTGTTGAATGTGTTTTCTCGTGTTTAGACAGGGTTTGTGGGTTTTTGGAAAGAAGAGCCCGGAGATGAGGTGGCTCTCTGGTCACCTCAGATTGGAGGTGCCTGATGCCCCCGTGACGTCATGGGGGTGTCAGCCTGGCCACTGGGAGCTCCCCAGCGCCCCCGCCCGCCTGTTGTTTGAGCCGGCCCTTCCTTTCTGGCACCGCCAGCTACTCCAGCTTCACTTCATCCTGTGTCTCTGCCTCAGCCTGGAATCACCGAGTTCTCGGGCGCTGGTTCATTTCACCAGAGAGCAGGGTTTGGAAACCAGGCCTGGGGCTGCGGGGGTGGGTGCTGCTGCTGGGGGTCTTGTTGCCTGTGGTCCTCTCTGTAGACAGAGCTTGATAACATACGCACATGTGCTGACCTAGGAGTACACGGGTGTGTGCCAGCCCACGCGTGCACGTGTGTTCCCGCCTGTGTCCACAGTGCGTACATAGGTGCACACACACCTGCCTGCACATGCTGTCTAGTTGCCAGTATCTGTCAGTAAACTCGACTTTGCTCTGGTATCTGAACTCTGATCCTGCTACCAGGAGCTTGCTGGGCCTGTGTCCCAAGTGTCTGGGTCTGTGGGTTGATGTTCTGCAGCAAGGAGGGGAGGTGGTTCCCCTCCCAGCAGGCCCAAGACTGGGGGGTAGTGACAGTAAGTGGCAGCTGCAGGACCCAATGTCCCCCCGCGTCCCCTGTCTTCTCCTGCGTCATCACTGTTCATGGGGTTTCATGACTCTCTGTGGAGCCCCTCTGGCCATCCTTCTGTCCATTCGTCTGTCTGTCGGGGCCCTGGACCCGTCTGATGTGTCTCCTGTGCCTGCAGGGTGGATTTGAACACTGACAGGAAGATCAGTGCCAAGGAGATGCAGCAGTGGATCATGGAGAAGACGGCCGAGCACTTCCAGGAAGCCATCGCGGAGAGCAAGGTGCACTTCCGCGCCGTAGACCCCGACGGCGATGGTACGGCCAAACTGCCCTGACCCTGGGGGCCTGGGGCTGCCAGCAGAGGGCAGCACAGGAAGGCAGAGGGGCGGTGGGCCCAGGGACCGGGAACAGAGGACATGAGGTGAGAGGGGCCCTCGCTGGTGTTGCCTGCCAAGCAGACATCCCCACTGGCCTTCAGGGAGGACCGCGGGCTGGGCTCCGGCCAATCTACCGCAAAGCCGAGGCCCTTGCAGGAGGCTCGGTGCTTCTGCCTTTGCAGTTGTGGTAGCACGAGGGTCCTGACAGAAGCATCGCTCTTTAAAGACCTTCATTGTTAAACCTGCTAACAAGTCGGTGTGTTTTTTCAGGCCACGTGTCATGGGATGAGTATAAGGTGAAGTTTTTGGCCAGCAAAGGCCACAGTGAGAAAGAAGTTGCCGAGAAGATAAAGAATAAGTGGGAGCTGAACATTGATGAAGAGAGTGAGTGCCCCTCCCGCGCTGGGCCTTGCTGATGCTGTGGGGGTGGGGGAGGCAGGTGGAGTCATGCCAATGCCGTAGGGGTGACAGGTGGGCGTGGCCATCCGGGCGCTTCTACGGGTCCATTAGGCAGAACACCCAGGACCCTCCAGACTTGGTGGATGGGGGCAGCTGGCAGCCTGGCGTGGGCTTGAGCTCTGGGGAGGAGGTGGTGGGAGGTGCCAGAAGCACTGGGCGGCAGGCCTTGGCCAGGACAGGTCCCCAGTTCTGGATGAAGTCCAAATCCCGAGAGTCGGTGAGGTTGGTGGGGCATCTGCCTGAGGCTCGTGGAGGCGGGTGGGAGCTGGAGCCAGAGGTGCGCGGGCCTGGGCCTGAGGACAGACTCTCCCTCCCCTTAGCGTATCAGAGACGTTCTTTTAGAAACTGATAGAAAGTCTGTGCCTGATGGCTGAGTTCTAAACCTTTGTGCGGGTGACTGTCTGCAGCTCTGAGCCACCCTACCCTTCCCCAGGGCCTGTTTACTGCCTGTCCGAGCAGGCCTGTGGAGGCATTCGTCTCCTGCTCTTCTTTTCCTGGGGGGTCGTCCCCATTGTGGTCTCGTGGCGTCCAGTGTGCCACCTGCAGGATCTTCTCTGGGGCATCTCTGTACCTGTGATGCTGCCCTGTGTCTTGTGTCCGCTTGGCTGTTGGGGTGAGTGTGTCGCAGCCTCCTGCTGGTGTCCCACCGCCCTTCCTGCCTCTGCTTTGTGAGGGCTGCTGCTGTGTTCTTTGGTCCACAGATGTTCGTTGTTGTCGTTTTTAGATGCACTGTGGGCGCCACTCTCTGTCAGGGTGAGTGTTCGTAGGACTGGCCTCCCCGTCTGACATCAGGGTTGCAGCCTGTGCCTTCGTCCTCTTTGCATTTGCTCTTAGTTTTTAATTCCACTTGTGCCTTGCTGGTACACAGGGAAGTGATTGTCTTTTGTCTGGCAACTTCCTGTCCTGCAGCTTTGCTGGCATGGCTCAGTAGTTCCAGGATTTTTTTGTTGGCTCTTTTGGATTTTCCACCGAGGCGATCATGACATCGTTGAACAAAGACAGTTTATTTCCCACTTTTATTCCTTTTCTTGTCTTAATGCGTGAGCTTGGGCTTCCAGTGCTGTGTGAAAAGCAGCAGTGAGAGGGACAAGTCCTAGCCTTGTCTCTGAATTTAGTGGGAAAGCTTCGAATTTCTTGCTCTTGCATGTAATCTTCCCTGTAGGTTTTGTGGATTTCCTCGTCCAGTTGGCGGGTTCCCCTCTGCTCCTAGTTTGCTGAGAGTTGTGATCATGTCTGGGTGTTGGGTTTCGTCATACGCTTATCTGCATCTGTTGACACGGTCATGTGGCTGTTCTTCACTGGCCTGGTGATGTGGTGGAGTTTATCAGCTGATTACAGATGCTGAGCTGACCTTGCTTTCCTGTGATAAATCCCGCCTGGTTGTGGTGTGTAATTTTTTATGCATTTCTGGACTTGATCTGCGAGTGTTCTGTTGAGTGTTTTGCTGTGTGTTCATGTGAGATACTGGTCTAGTTTTCTTTTCTAGTTTTGGTGTTAAGATGGTCTCGGCCTCACAGAGTGAATTAGGATGTGTACTCGCTGCTTCCCTCCTCTGGAAGAGGTTGTGCGGGTGTGTGTGACCTCTTCCTCATGGGTTTGGTAGGATTCACCCGTGAACCCCCCTTGAGCCTTCGTCTTTCTAAAGCATTTTGGTTTTTTAAGGACTACATAGAGTTTAGCTTTGTTTCGTGAGCCAGTTTGAATTTTTTTGACAACAGACGAGTTAAGCTCACTTAGATTTCTATTTCCTTTCTCCCCTTTCATCTTTTCCCTCTGCTGATGTTGGGATGAAGAGCCCCGGCTTCCCCTCTCTCAGCATGTTTCTCAGCTTTAAGCACGACCCTGACGGCTGTGAACAGGGCTCCCGGCTCTCGAGTTGTGCCGGTGGAGGCTGGCTGTTTATGGAAAGGTGGATTGGGTCTTACACTTTAATTTTTTTCTGCTTACTCTATTGATAACGCACATTTAACTGAATAGAGTCTAAGTCAAGAACAATCTACCCTATTCCTGGATTGGATAGAGACCCCTTTCCTAGTTCATGGGACGCTTCTCAACCACTGGCCATTTTTTCTAAAGTGGTTGTTGGCTCTTTCCGTATTTGTTCCCATGTTGTGTTTCTTTTGTTTGTTCTGTGGTTTGGATTTGCCCCGAAGGCATCCTTTAGAGCGTCTGGGGGCCTCTGTCCTCCTGCCCACATTGGAGAGTCGTTGCCAGCTTCCAGGGTGGCTGCCGGCTGTCTGCCTGCCTGTCTTCAGTGCTCCTTCCCTCAAGCGTATGGGGTCGGGGTCTAGACCGCTTGGTGTCTTTGTCCTCTTCTGGGACTTGAGCAGGTGAATTTGGGATTCTGCCCTCTGCCTGCAGCCCATTGCCCGGCCTCATCTCACACTCAGTCTCGGGGGGTGAGCAGGTCTAGGGGTCAGAAGTGCAGAGCAGCTGTCAGGGGGCTGGGGGTGCTAAGATGTGAGCTCGGGGTCATGCAGCACATCCATGTGGGTTTCTGGGGCCGCTGGCACAAGGCATCACGGGAAGGGGGTCCCTCCCAGGCGTCCCTCCAGCCTGGTGTTGCCGGCGTCCCTGCGTGTGGCCACTTCTCCCCAGTCTCTGTGACTCCCTTCACACAAGG